AGAATTTTTTTTTCCAGATATATATTGTGGTAATAAAATAACTATTATCACATCTCCCTGCTCACTTGTAACCATTACAATAAAATTAACATGTTTTTTAACATTAAAGCTAAATTGAGTCAAAGCCTACAGTTGTCGCTATATTACATACTGTGTCCGTGTTTTTTTTGCATCTACTAAAATGAATATTATTACAAAATGTCTGTGTATATATTTGCATTAACTTTTCTTGTACAGTTCATTTTCAGGATTTTAAACAAAATGTACAGTGTCTTTTTTTGAAAATTTGGGCATTTCTTTCTTTATATTTTTGTATTATATAACAAAGACTGAATGTTTTTTTTGTTTTTTTTAACTGAATGTTCAAAATAAAGCAACTCTTGCTATATGTCTTGCATGTTTTCATTGTTGAAATGTCAAAACTAACTCTTAGAACAAAGTACTAAAGTATTACTGTCAAATTCTTTGTGTGACATCCCATTGGTTAAAGCACTCAAATGCAAGCTATAAGGTGTCTATATTTTACACCATGATCTGAGTAATTGATTTTTGAAGATAAATTTCCAATAATTGATAACCTTAATTTGCTTCATAAGTTATTTATTAATATAACATACCAAAGGCTTTATTTAGTCTGTCTGATAAATGTTGATTACAGATTAGCTGAATACCCATCCTACGAACAGAGAAAATTTTTCTTAATTGTCATTATCACAATGTTTTAGCCATTATGATAATAACAACAAAGATGAGGACATTTTTCCAAACATAAATAATATAAATAATGATGACGCATCATCCCAAAAATTCAGACAGAAGATGATCAGGTGATAATAACAACAAATAACAATTTTATCCAAATGTAAATGTCATAAATTAGTTAAATACCAAGTTAGTTAGTGTTCTCCCCTCCTTGCTATAAATAGTCACTTGGTCAGTGATTCTAGCAGTTTTGTACTTGATAAGTAGTGAGTGAGATTTGGATTCACTAAGTCTCTCTTTTACCTTTGACTTATCACAGTAAATAATGCAAATAATGATAATTTTGCATCCTCAATATTTAGACAGATGGCAATCAGTTGATAATAATAAAGATGGGAACATTTATCCAAATGTAAATAATGGCAACTCCTCATCTAAGAAACTCGGGCAGAAAAAAGAAAGTTTTTCACAATAAAAATTAATTTTGTCAATCTGTTAATGCACTTGTAAAATCTTACTTATTATAAAATGCAGATTGTGTGTGCGCGTGTGTGTGTCTGTACGTTTATATATTGGATCGGATTTCCTACATTTTTCAACCGATTTCAACAAAACTTCACAGGACTGCATAAAATTACCTTGCGGTGGTTCTGACAGTGCCAAAAATTGAAAACACAATTGTTTTTGCATGAAATCAATTTGAAAACACGATAAAACAATTCTGTTGCCAGAATGAAAGGGGGACAACTCATATCGAGTTATACTTATTATAAAACCCAGGTTGTTTGTGTGTGTGTTCATTTATATATGGGGTCAGATTTCCTACATTTTTCAACCAATTTCAACAAAACTTCACTTTTTTTTTTTTTTTAGTGTTTCTTATTGTCTTGCACACTTTTTTTTGTATTTTTACATTCAGAATGCTTTAAAATTCCATTTACAAGACAATTGTTTATAATAAAATTCTATTCAATCGATAGACTCATAACAATTGAAAACAATGTTTTTGTTTGAGTTTGGGTTTGACCAATTCATAAAAAAAAAAAAACTAATTAAGACATGTGTGGCCGTCAATCTTAAACAATAATCTTTGTCATTTTTATTTTTCAGTCTTTATGATTGTCGATACTTGATATCTCTTACTGTTACATCCCCGGGCAACACCGGGCTCTACTGCTAGTCTTTACTATCAGCATAAATATATGTTCATTATTTCATAATGTTTTAAAAGCTACTAGGATACTTGTTTCAAAGGTACATATTCAAATAATATATAGCTTTTTATTGACTGCTTTAACCATTAAAAAAAACAAAAGGTTTGTTTGAAAAAGGATTCCACTAGTATGTTAATAATAAAAGCTTTGGCTGAAACTCTGCAGTTACTTTGCAGGTATAAAATATCTAAATAAATTTATATGTCTAAAATTGTTAAACATTTTTCTCTTAAAAATTCTTGCTTATATTGCTGATGTATAAGTTTCAGGAAGAACAGCTGAAATGTCATTTTTTTTCCCCTGCATGTAAATCCATCTACTAAACTCTACTCTCTCTTTTACTTAATGCTGCATCCATCTACAGTGCTCGGTCATCGTAGGTCTGGTTCGTATGGCAACCCTATACCTTCTGTAAATGTCAATCCTCCCTTTGTAAACCTGACTCCAAATAGACACTCATTTACAGGTGAGATCATGGAGAAGTGTTGAATGTTTTACTTCTCTGCTGCTTTTTCTGTTTCTCTCTCCATTAGCAGGTGGTGGGATTTAGGCCATTCTTTTGTGTATTGTCATTTTTTTTTTAAAGATATCCAAATTGGAATGAAGACTATTCTCACTGCAATTGTTGTCATCTTCTGCTATTTCTGTTTGACTGAAGGTCAAGGTGTATAAAGGATCAGTAGCTGAGTGATGTTGTGAGTGTCACATATTAGAATGCGTGTCTTACAATTCAAGTAGCCAGAAAGCTTTTTTGCAGTAACAATTGGATATATCCAAATATGTTCATGAGAAATGAATGCTGTTCATTCTGAGAACAGTTCATTGCAACTTTCTCCATATTGTAAAAATTTGCTGACTAAATGGTCACACATTTTTTTATCATTTCAAGAGCTATTCAAAAAATTGAACTCTTTCTGTGTGTTGCATAAGAAATTGTTACCACAACATTTTGGCTCATCTATTGTACAGTTTTCTTCAGGTTTAAAATCTGTAATTAAAGAAAAGTCTCTTTGTTGTAGAACCAGATGGTAAATCCCCATTCTTTGCAAAATGGTAGCAATTAGGATGGACAGGTAGCATAATGGCTATCAGTATTAGAATTAAACCCTGCAAATTGAGTTTAAATTTTGTTTAGGTCTGTTGTATTCATTTTCTCACTAATTCCCTTGAGAAAGGCATAAATCCATCTTTTCTGTCTTGACGATGGATTAAATAACAGGATATACTGAGCTGTCTAGCAGTGGGTGGCAACTGATATTGGAGAAGGAAAACTCTAAATTCAAAACTCTGGAGAAGACAATAAGAAAATCACTCCATTACATTTCTCATCAAATCATAGCAATTTACAGATTATAAAGAAAAGGAAACTGTGGAGAGCCATGGTTTCCTGTCTCCTGAAGGTACTGAAATTATATATGTGGTTTGGTTCATTCACAGAATATTAGTCACACAGCTAATACCATTAACAGTCACTCATGTAACACAATTTTAAAATTTTTTTATAACCTATTACTTTGAGATCATCATGGAATAATGGCTAGTAATTTGGATTGAGGAATCAGAGAGCCAATTTTGAATTCTAATTCATTACGTTCACTTACATGCTAATACCATTGAGAAAGGTATGAATCCATTTCTTCTCCCCATAGCTATGGATATATAGCAGGGCAGACTAGGTTCTATAGCTTTGGTTGGTGACTAATCTAGAAGGAAATCTCTGAATTCAAACCAGCCTGGTGAAGGTTGGGCTCTTTCAGGCTATCTTGGCCATGAAAAAACCCTTGCTGCAATTGCTGCAGCATATTTAGTGCCCTTATGACCCTAATGGATTACAGGACTCGTCATCGTGACTTTTGTTTTTCTTGGGAGGTCATACAGTGATACATAAGATTTTTAGAAATTTATCATCTGTATGTTCAAAAATATTCTGAATTATAAGTTACTCCCAGTTTTGCCTGATAGTAACCTGGAATCTTTTCAAGTGAGTGATTTTTATGTTTGATTTCTGTCTGGATATTTTTTTTTTTTTTGTTCACCTTAATCCAATACAAGGTCTAAGAGCCACACAAGGTACTCAGTGGGATTATGGTAAAGGAGAAGACAAAGGAAGCCATAAGTGCATATTATGAAGATATGTAGGATAAATAACAGTTGGTTTGAAGAGGTTAAGTTTGTAGTGTTTAACGAAAGATCTTCTCAGGAGTTTGTTCACAGAGTAACAGTTCTGGGGAAGAAGCTGTCTGTGTGGAACTTACTCCTTATTTAAAGAATATGAATGGAATGGAGATGGTTTGCCACCATGAACATAGGATACTGGTTCCTAGATGTGAAGGTCTGAACTGGTGGAACTGAGTAATGTGAACCATCACAACATGAAATATATCATGAAGAATTAATACACATCATTTTATCCATGTCATTCCAGATGTAAATTTAAAAAAGATTAAAAATAAATTCTTTGAGAGGTTTGTCTTTGTACTTCTCAAACTACTGAGAGAAATATACTCCTTGTGTATTATTTATGTTCACTGATTAATATATACGAGTCATAGTTTAATTATTATTTCTCAGTTTGAAGTTGTAAGAGATGTATTTTTCTTTGTTTTTTTTTTTTAAACTTTGGGATGACATGTAGAAAGGGTAAAACTGTATTTTTTTCTTGAAATGATAATAGCATTATTAATAAAACACATACACAAAAGAATGGTCTAATGAAGGAAAAACATCTGCTTTTTTTTTTTTTTGCTTTTGCTTCTATTGCACTAATTTTAATCTTTGGATTACACATTAATTTTATTTATTTAATTTAATTTCATGTGTATTTAATGTGTTTTCAATATTTTAAGATATTAACCTTTAGCACAGTATTAACAACTTTATTGTTTGCCACTGTATGGTATTCCAATGGCTAAATGAGAGTGGATTTAAATTTGGTGGTTGTGTTGTCATGTTCTTTTCATGGCAACATCAATAAATACATGGTTGAAAAAAAAACATGGTTGAAAAAAAAAGAAGAAAAAATACCCTATTATTGTTGTAGGGCCTCCATAATCAATTCTTTCCATATTCTTCGTTTGCCATCCCATGTCTCACCTTTCTGCCTCTCGTCTTTCTTCTTTGCTCCCTTCATTTTTCACCTTCTCTTCTTTGCTCCCTTCATTTCTCACCCGCTCTTCTTTGCTCCCTTCATTTCTCACCCGCTCTTCTTTTATTTTTCATTTCTCACCCGCTCTTCTTTGCGCCCTTCATTTCTCACCCGCTCTTCTTTGCGCCCTTCATTTCTCACCCGCTCTTCTTTGCGCCCTTCATTTCTCACCCGCTCTCTTCTTTGCGCCCTTCATTTCTCACCCGCTCTCTTCTTTGCTCCTTTCATCTCTCTCTCTCTTCTTTGCTCCTTTCATCTCTCTCTCTCTTCTTTGCTCCTTTCATCTCTCTCTCTCTTCTTTGCTCCTTTCATCTCTCTCTCTCTTCTTTGCTCCTTTCCGTCTCTCTCTCTCTTCTTTGCTCCTTTCATCTCTCTCTCTCTTCTTTGCTCCTTTCATCTCTCTCTCTCTTCTTTGCTCCTTTTCGTCTCTCTCTTTCCGCTCTTTTCGTCTCTCTCTCTCCGCTCTTTTCGTCTCTCTCTCTCCGCTCTTTTCGTCTCTCCGCTCTTTTCGTCTCTCCACTCTTTTCGTCTCTCCACTCTTTTCGTCTCTCTCCCTCTCCGCTCTTTTCGTCTCTCTCTCTCTCCGCTCTTTTCGTCTCTCTCTCTCTCCGCTCTTTTCGTCTCTCTCTCTCTCCGCTCTTTTCGTCTCTCTCTCTTCTTTGTTCCACTTGTCTCTCTCTATGCGCCCCTCATCTCTACCTCTCTTCTATGCTCCCCTCGTCTCTCCCTCTCATCTTTGCTCCACTTATCTCTCTCTTTCTGTGCTATACTCGTCTCTTTCTCTTCTTTGCTCTTGTTGTGTGTCTCTCTCTCTCCCTCCCTCTCTCTCCCTCCCTCTTTCCAAGTCTTGTCTCAGTCTCTCTCTCTACTTTCCAAGTCTCATCTCTATCCCTTTTCATTCAATCCAACATCTCTCTCTTCTTTTCATCATAAAATCTCTCTTGCTCTATTCTCCTCCCTATTCTCCCTCTTTGTAATGAATAATACAGAATGCTAAAGGTTATTATTTCTTTTGTGGTTCATGACATTGCTCTTATTATCTTCAGGTAAAATATTGAAATCTTAGCATGCTTGCATGTATACTGAATTTTCTTATCCAATATCAGTTGTGAATCAGGGTTCAAATCCAGACAAAGCAAAAGATTTATTCCTATCCTAACACTATTTCTTTTTTTGCATCAAATATCTTCCTTCTTATCATATTTCTCAGATCCAGGCACCTTTAACGAGATTCCATTGACAATTCTTATCTTGTTTCTTATAGAGTTTGTAAGGTTGTTTGATTTTAAAATGTTGGTGGAGAACATTGTATTTCATTCTGTCTAGTGTCTGTTCTCCTGTCTTGCCTCACATTCACATCTCTTTTCCTTTCTCATTTCTGCCTCTTTCTTTCTCATCTAGACCTCTTTTCACTCACTTTCTATCCCTTTCATTTACCGTCTTTTTCACTCTCTTTCTCTCTCGTCTTCACCTCTTTTCACTCTCACTCTCTCTTGTCTCCACCAATTTTCACGCTCTCTCTCTCTTGTCTTCACCTCTTTTCACTCTCACTCTCTCTCGTCTTCACCTCTTTTCACGCTCTCTCTCTTGTCTTCACCTCTTTTCACGCTCTCTCTCTCTCGTCTCCACCTCTTTTCACGCTCTCTTTCTCTCGTCTTCACCTCTTTCACGCTCTCTCTCTCTTTGTCTTCACCTCTTTTCACGGTCTCTCTCTCGTCTTCACCTCTTTTCACGCTCTCTCTCTTGTCTTCACCTCTTTTCACGCTCTCTCTCTTTTCACCTCTTTCACGCTCTCTCTCTTGTCTTCACCTCTTTTCACGCTCTCTCTCTCTCGTCTCCACCTCTTTTCCGCTCTCTCTCTCTCGTCTCCACCTCTTTTCGCTCTCTCTCTCTCTCTCCACCTCTTTTCCGCTCTCTCTCTCTTGTCTTCCCCCTCTTTTCACGCTCTCTCTCTCTTGTCTTCACCTCTTTTCAAATCTCTCTCTCTTGTCTTCACCTCTTTTCCTCTCTCTCTCTCTCTTGTCTTCACCTCTTTTCACGCTCTCTCTCTTGTCTTCACCTCTTTTCACGCTCTCTCTCTTGTCTTCACCTCTTTTCCACGCTCTCTCTTCTCTTCCCCCACTCTTTTCTCTCTCTCTCTCTCTCTTGTCTTCACCTCTTTTCACGCTCTCTCTCTCTCTTGTCTTCACCTCTTTTCACGCTCTCTCTCTCTCTTGTCTTCCCCTCTTTTCCGCTCTCTCTCTCTCTTGTCTTCACCTCTCTTTTCACGCTCTCTCTCTCTCTTGTCTTTTCACCTCTCTCTCTTTCTCCACCTCTCTCTCTCTCTCTTCCACCTCTTTTCACGCTCTCTCTCGTCTCCACCTCTTTTCCGCTCTCTCTCTCTCGTCTCCACCTCTTTTTTATTCTCTCTCTCTCGTCTCCCCACCTCTTTTCTTTTTCGCTCTCTCTCTCCGTCTCCACCTCTTTTCTCTCTCTCTCTCTCTCTCCCCCTCTTTTCACGCTCTCTCTCTCTCTCTGTCTCCACCTCTTTTCCACGCTCTCTCTCTCTCTCTCCCACCTCTTTTCAACTCTCTCTCTCTCTCCTCCCACCTCTTTTCACGCTCTCTCTCTCTCTCGTCTCCACCTCTTTTCGATTTCGCTCTCTCTCTCTCTCGTCTCCACCTCTTTTCACGCTCTCTCTCTCTCTCGTCTCCACCTCTTTTCACGCTCTCTCTCTCTCTCGTCTCCACCACTATTTCACGCTCTCTCTCTCTCTCTCATCTCCACCACTATTTCATGCTCTCTTTTTAATCTCCATCTCTTATTACTCTTCCTCATCTTTGCCACTTTTCACTCTCTCTCTCATCTCCGCCTCTATACGTTCCCTCTCTCCTTCATCTCCGTCTCTTTTCACTCTCTCTCTTATCTCTGCCTCTTTTCATGCTCCTCACTCTTTTCATGCTCTGTCTCTCTTGTCTTTGCTTCTTTTCACTCTTTCTTGTCTCCCCCTCTTGTCTTTCTGTCTCTCCTTTCAAAAACTTCTCTCTCTCTCTCAGTCATTCTTTTCTCCATCTCTCTCTCTCTCTCTTCTCTTTACCTTTCTCCTCTACTCATCTTCTCTTTACCTCTTTTTCCTTCTTCCCACTTTTTGTTCCAATTTCATGATCTTCAATTTTTCTTTGTCACATTTTGTTGTCTCCCTTTGTTTTTTTACTTGATATTTAATTTTTACTCTTTTCATCGTATTTTTTCTTTCTTTTACTTAATGTTATTCAATATTAGATTAGTGTCTTATTGAGTAAATTGCATTTGAGTGGGAATGCCAATATGGTATATGCACAAGCCAATTTGCATGAAATTTAGATTAAACAGAAGAAAAATTTTTGTAATCAAGTTTGTCATTTATCTTCAAAATACCATTTTTGCTGTTGAGAAATTATTCTTTTTGAAGTCACATTAAAAATGCAAGTATTTCTGACAAAAACAAACCACTGAAGTTGACTTTTTGTAATAAGAGCAGAAAACAGCCTTAGACCTTTATAGAAATTGATTAAAAAATAACAAAGGGGAAAACATTTTTTTAATGAGGCTTAATAGCAGCTTGAATTTCAGTTGCCTCTAGACTGTTTTAAAGATTGCTTTGTGGTAAAATTGCGAAAATAGTTCTTAGTAAGTATTTTTAATGTTTATTTTTAGTATTATTGAAAAAGAAATCCAATGCTGTTACATCTTTAAAATAATATCTTGAACAAATGAGTTGAATTTAAAAAATGTATATTGACATTTTTTCATTACATGAAACATTTTTTGCTTCTCTTGAATTTTGAAATGATTACGATGACATATATGAAAGAATATGTAAGCAGTTGCAAATAAATAAATTAAAATAAAGGAAATATATAAGTTAAATTTAACCTGACTTGAAAATTGCTACTCAGTCCTTTGTTACATAATCTACTATGTCAGCAAAAAAGGAAACAAGTGTTGCTTGTAGTTTCTGCTGGATGCCATATTGGCAAAAGTGATCAACATGGCTGATAGCCATGTACTAGTCTGCTTCATATGCAAATCACTTTGCCTAAAAACGCACTAACATTTAGTGAGTAAATATTACATTTTTCACTTAGGTGCCATGTGACTACAATAGTCAGTGGCACAAAAGAGTGAGGATTGGAAACTATTGAAGAAGCCACAAATTGTAAGAGTTGACTTCACTGAAGATTTTCAGAAAGAATGCAGGTTTTGTGGTTTATAATCTATATATATATATATATATATATATATATATATATATATATATATAGGGGAAAAGGTTATAGTTGTTCCAACCAGAGAAAAATGTATATTTTAAAAAAAGAGAGAAACCGCAAATGTTTTTGGTTAAAATGTGGATTTGTTTTAGTGTATATATTATATTTTATTTTATTCTTCATATGTTGGCAGAAGTGAATTTCTGTCAAAGTGGCAATAAAACCATTAAGTTTGGTCTGAGAGGTGATGGTGATAGATGTGTTGATGAGAGATGTTTTTCTATCCCTACATTACCCTTAAGACTATCAAATCTATTTCTACTTTTGCGTATCGTGTGTGCGTGCAGTGATGAAATCAAAGCTCACTATGAATACAGAAAATGAACAATGAAACATTAAAATAACATAAGCAAAATTTTATTTGCCTGAAGAAGGTCACGAGACCGGAAACCCATGTAGCAGAAATATGAAGAATAAAATATAATATATACACTAAAACAAATCCACATTATAACCAAAAGCATTTGCGATTTCTCTTTTTTTAAAATAATAATCCAGAGGAAGAATAGACTTGAAGCAACAGAAATGTGGTTCTACAGCAGGATAGTGAGAATACCATGGACCAAATATGTGAGCAATGATGAAGTTTTAGAGAAGTGGGAGACAAAATGTGGCTTATACTTAACATCAGGAATATATAGTTCAAATGTCTAGAGCTCATAGTGAGGAAAGAGGGCTTTGAAAATTTGATATTCACAGGGTAGATTTAAGACGAGGGACAGGAAAACAATGGCGAAATAACAAAAAGTTAAAATTTATTAAGAGCTACAAATTGACAGGAAATTGTGGAGATGCATAATCACCAACTTCCTGAAGGGACAAAAGAAAAATAATTCCATATTCTGAATCTTTGATGAATTCATACTTTTATTCTAATTCCAGATCATATTTTCTTTTTGGAAGGATTTATCTTGCATCCTACTTTCTGAAACACTTTTTTAGCCCATAAGTTGAATTTAAATTTTAGTTACCTTAAAGCTAATAAAATTTATAACTTCAGTTTAGAATTCATGAAGTCAAGTATATACAGGCAAGTTCTTAATTTTCTTCAGTTCATCTTTCTACTTATTTCTTTGTATTATTTTAAACTACATTGCAAAATAAGATTTTTTTTTTTTTTTTCAACAATCAGTTGCATGAGTGCTAATTTTTTTTCCTTGTGTATGGACGCAGCAGTCAGTCAACAACATTTTTTTTTTTTTTTTAGGGGTTGTGTTTTTTGTTTCCATTATGGCTTTTACTATAAGAAAATTGTTAACCAACTCTACGTCATTTAAGCAAAGAGCGTTGCATTTCAGATAATAAGATTTAATCAATTTTTCCATCCAGTCTTGAAATTTGTAAAGGTTATAAGCTTCTTTTTTTTATGTTTTTGATAAATGCTTTATCAAGTTATGAGGGCAAGTAAAAATCCATCCCAACCATTTTGAAATTTTTGATTTTGGAACAATTTTGAAGTATTTTTTGTCAACATTTTTATTTCCAATTGGAATGCTTTCTACAATAATTCCTTCCATTTTCTTTAAAAAATGTTATTAAATCACCTGTTCTTAGTACTTTTTACCTTTTGACTTATTGCACTTGTTTTTACTAACATAAAACTGATTTGTTAATCTTATCTACATGCGTTTTCTTTTTTTTAAGCTTATTACTTCAATGTTATCTATTCACATAAATTTGATTTGCTTTCTATAAAAATGAATGTTGTAATAAGTTTCAAATGGAAAAGAATTTTTTCAAAGGGTATTCTAATCTGTGTTCTACCATGAATTTGACCCTTAACAGAAGTGTAGATCTTCACTATTTTTTTTTTTTTTTTAAATTATTATTATCATTTCATCCCAAGCAAAGCAATAAGACAGAGGGGGTTACTGAGTGTTAGAGAATATGAGAAAAAATACTTTTAAAGAGAGGGGACAAAGAACAAGAATGAAAAAGACAGTAGATAACAACTGATATTGCATTTAAATTTTTGAAGATTAAAATTGACTGGGAAGCAAGAAGCTGCAAAAAGTTTCACAAGTGAGAAGTGTTATAGAAGAAACTGTTAGCATAGAACATACGCTTATATCTGGACATTTCAACTGTAAAATACTGAGACTCTGTCACCAATCTAGTACTGCACTTAAAATCATAAAGTCATGGTACTACGGAGGAAAGTTAATCAAAATAATTACCTGGAAAGTATTTATAGAAAAGGCACAAAGAAATTATATTATGGCACTGGGAAAGTAACTGAAGCCCAGAAGCCAGGTCAAGAGTAATAACATTGCAGATTCTTTTTTGGATTTACTTGAAATATTAATCATTGAGAGTAAATATTCTAATACCATTGGAGATGAGTATCGTTCATTTATTTATAAAATATGGACAATAAAATTATAATTATAAATTAATAAAATATAGACAATATCACTACTAGAGAATTAAAATAAAGAATGATTTCTATGTGTTGTAACCTAGGGAAGGTTACTGAATAGAATAATCACACAAAGGTTGGTAATGAATGATAATACTTAGGACAAGAACAACACATATAAGATTCACCAGTGGTGTGTAGAAGAAGTAGTCAACTGCTAGAAGTGAGTCAAGTGAATTCCACAATGAATCTCCAACTGCAGATCAACATACAGTATTTACTACTGTATTTATGTAAATAGAGATATACCCATTATCATCCGTAGGCATGCTACAACACTATTCTTAACACTTTTTATACTTGTTTCATGTTTTTCCTCAATTAAAGAATGTGCGGGCAGTGCAATGGATAGTGATTTGGAATGAGAAATCAGAAGGCTAAGTTTGAATTCCAGCTGGGTACATTACATTCACTTACATGCAAATATCCTTGGGAAAGGTATGAATTCCTCCCCACCCCCAAAAGTAAAGACTGGTATCTGGAGAAATCAAAATCATTGTTACTCTCAAGAAAACTGTTAATATTCATTCGCAGAAAAAGAATTATTCTTAATATCCAAAATATATTCTGGCTTTAAATAACTGGCAAAAAGTTAAGCTGAAAAATCAAATCAATCAACAAAATCCTCAATAAAGATTAAATATTAGATTACTTAAAATGGCTCTTCAGCTTTCATAATATATATATATATGAAAGAAAAATACAGAAAAAACAAACAAAAATCTGAATATGCAATTATGTAGTATTAATGTAAAATAAAGTCGACGTCGGACGTTTCGGTCTATTTAAGACCATCTTCATGGACATTTTCATTTAAACATAATTAACATTAGAACTTATGAAAATTTAACACAAACGACGATGGACATATATATATATAAAATGTTCATGTATAATATGTTTGTGTGTGTGCATGGCTGATTGGATGGGCACGTGGCCGAGTGGTTAGAACGTTCGCTTTCTGACCATGAGACCCAGGTTCAAATTTCACCATGGTTGATTTGTCAGGAAGGAGACTTCCTGATGTTAACGGACTGGATTAGGGTCAATCCTAGTGTGCGACACCTTTTGGCAAGTGCCTGAAAACAATACCATGGCTTGACCCAAGCCTTTTGAGTAAAAATGGGTTGACAGAATTCTTAGGGGCTGTTGATAGCTGTGTTAGCACAAAGTGACAAGTCATTGCGGCCAAGGGCTTGAGCATGCTGGCTGTGTTCAAATTGTTGATCACACTAGATAACATGCTCTCTCCCTAAAGTCTGCAGTATAAACAACGGGTGGACTCTGTGGGTGTTAAGCAAACACAATGTGCCTGAGTGAGCATCTGCAATAGGGATTGGCTAGCCGTCCTAGTAGACAGGTATTGTTGAATATAAATGGCCAGCTTATTTATTGGGTGTAAGAACAAAATTGTTCAAATCATGTAACAGAATTGGATTATTGTCCATCCTACAAAAGGTTTAATGTCTAAAAACCACTTAACTAATTGGGTTTCTTCTTACCAAATTTTCAGATAAGATGTTTAGCCATTTTGACACCATTTGTCATAAGAATTACAAAAAAACGTTTGAGTTATTCAGCTAGAAAGAGAACAGGTTAAAATCGTTTTGTGTCAGTCCAACTATGTCTTCCCAATTGAGGAATGGTAAGAGGAAAAAAATCATTCAGGCCTTCAGTAATGTTACCAACATTCATACATTGGCTTCCATCTTCAAAGTCCATTCAAGAACCATCAAGAGAATATATTTCCATATGCTCTATACCTTAATAAAGGGCTCAATATCAGAGATAGTGTATGGAAATATAAATGTGAACATTGACGATTACACTTAAGCATGAAACAGACTATCGCTGCTAGGTGTTGACCTCAATGTCCATGTTTACATTTATTTTCACTCTGCCTGATAATGAGCATTTTAACTCATAAATAAAGCATACCTTAAAATTATACTTTTATCATATATATATATATATATATATATGTCTTTTTGATGTATGGTGGTGCAACTCAGTTCTAAAAACTGAACAGTTAGTATTGTCCCCACATATGATTTGTTTATAGTGGTGTATGCTGATGCAAAACCAATCTCACTTTTTAGAAAAGCTGAATACAGAAAACTGGTGCATATAGTTTGCCTCTAAGTCCCCCCAAATGATCCTCTTCAGGTTTTGAATTCAAGTTTGGCATTTTTCTATTCTGGTTGCCACCAAAAACTATAGGACCCAGCCTGTCCTATTATTTACCCACAGCTGGTGGGTGAATAGATAGATTTATACCTTTTTTCAGATTGATTACACATTTAGGTGCTCATGAAACTGATAGTCACATACCTAACCATTAACACTATTTTAAAATTATATATATATATATATATATATATATATATATATAAACAGATTATTATTGCCACACTAGGATAAAATGATCTTTAACAAGGGGATCATATTTTATTCAAAAAAGGATTCAAAAGTATCACAGTGATTAAAATTTTAGGTACCTTTCAGTTGACATATCTTTAGAAAAAATAATATTGTTGGCAAGTAAAACTAAGTGGTCAAAAAAAAATTATTTTCAACAACTAGTGGTAAAATATATATGGTGTTATGCAATAAAAGTTTAAATAGACTGACCTCATCAGTTGAATCTACTAAAACTGATTTTATATGTTTCCATTTTTCAAATAAATATAACTTTTATATTTCTAAAATATCTGTATTAAAAGAAAAAAAAATAGAAAAGATAATGATTCTGCTATTTATGGGAAATAAAAATTCTGCTATTAAAGGGAAATAAAAAGCAATCAGTTGGTAGAATCCACCGAGGAAAAATTGCAATCAACAATCTTTTCATATTTTTCATAATCATTTCATCTTATTTCAGGTGTTGAAATGAGTAGCAGTTATGGTTCAAGCACCTCATCTACTCCACGTTCCACCAGCCCCATCAGGGCCCTAAAGCATGTCAAATCTTATCCAGAATCAAAAGGCCAGGGAATCATTTGTGATACTCCTATGAGGTCAGTTTCTCATCCAGCCCAGAGTGATTCACAGACCATGTGGAATATAACCAGCCACATTCCTGAACAGAAAAACCCACCAAGGAGCCAATTTGATGCTCGTAAGTTTTCAGACTGGCATACAGTCACTCTTCAATTCTTTTTTCTTCTTCATCTTTGCTAATCAGTGATATCATTAATTTCTTATCACTTTGTGTCTGGTGGTGTAATGGTTAGTGGTATGAAAAAATGAAATCTGAGAAGTGAGTTCAAATGTCAGTTGAAGTTTTTTATTTTCATTTTGTGTTAATGCTCTTGAGAAAAGCATGAATCTGTAAACCTACAATGGCTCCCTCTCAGTCTTTAACTGATCAGGTCAAATCACTCTATGTTGTACAGAATCAGGCCTTGAAGGATGTTGGTTGGTGCAACAATATCAACAAGCAAGTAAACCCAGTTGAAATCGAGGTATACACAAACAAGATAACCTGATGGTCCACCTGATAACAGGAAGTTATATGAACACACCCACACTATAACCTAACAGGAAGATCAAATGGTCAAAGAATGATCTGAAATCATATAGCCTAGATTTGGTCAATGTTAATTTGATGAAGTCTTGAAGTGAATAAACAATTATTCTACATATGAACAATTTTGTCCCATATTCTTATCAGATGTTACTATCATAAAATTACAGCTCTTTCATTGTCAGCTGATTATGCTGCTTTATTTGCAAATAACTATCACCTCAAATCAGCACTACAAAACATTTTCCATCTCCCTCTCACATTTTTGATATTGGAGATCTGATTAACAAAAAATCTCTCTCTCTCTTTCTCTCATATAGATAGTGATTTTCTAAGCCGGGCTTAGATGTGGCACAAGGCCGAAAGTATGGGGTACCCAGTGAGGATCGAACGCACTACTCAGTCGTTATTGATCTAGCAAGACAAGCTTTCTAACCATTAGACCACGTCAAGGTGCCCCTTTCTCTCATATATATATATATATATATATATATATACATACATACATACATACACACACTGTTTCTTCAGGATGTGTATGGTCATGGCTCTCCTCAACTTTCTGTACTTTGCTGCTCTTAGTAATGTTTGTCTTTGTCATCTCTCCTAATCCCTGTTCCACCAATCAATTAGTCATTAGGCAGGTTATTTACTGTTTTCCCCTGTTTCTTTTGCCTTTAATATGTCCTGTGAGTATCAAATTTTCTAAACCCTTTCCTCATTATGTCACCTAGAAATTTCAATTGCCTCTTACTGATTCTAGGTAGAAGTGTCCTTTTTGTTTCAAATTTCCCCAAAACTTTCTCATTACTCACATGGGATGCTTGGCATCATTTTAGCTAATATGTCTGTTGCCTAAAGTTTCTTATTCATCTGTGAGAAGATTATCCAGCATTCATTGTCATATAGGAAGACCCATATTTCAGTTGGTATCTCCAGTTTGTACTTTGCATGTTGGGCTGTCTCTTTAGCTGACAACCATACATTTTTTCTTCATTCAATTGACAGTGAGTCCTTTCTTTTCATTTTCCTTTACTACCTTCTATAGAAATTCCTGTAGTTTCCTTTCTTCATCTGCATATCTTATGTTTTTAAGATTGTTGCTGCCAATAATGAATGCTGTTAACACTTCTAATTCTCTCAGGGTTGCTTAATGTTGAAAAAGTCCAGTAACAAGAAACATCCTTGTTTTATGCCCCCTTTCTGTTTTTGCGTACTTATTGAATTCATTTTGTTTTCACATGCAGGAAGTTTGCTTCCATTTTAAATTCTGGATTATTCTAATATCTTTCCCAAATAAATCTAGCTTACTTAGCAGTTAAAGCAGTTCTTTGTCATATTTTATCAGACACTTTTGCATAATCTATATAAAACATAGATATAAAGGGTGTTTTAATAACTTGGACTGATTTTAAAATGTGAATTAATTTTAAGTGTCTAATGATTTTTTTTCTTTTTCTTTCAGATTTAACAACTTAAGTTTTTGGTAATTTCAACCATGGAAAGATTAACAATCAAACAACATGTTAAAGTTTCAAGGGTGCAATTGTAAAAACAAACTGGGTTGGTGGCAGATGTGAAAACACCATTGTGTGCTTGTTTATGCTGTTCAGGTGAAAACATCGCTTCAATGCATATGAATATGACTGAAAATCCAGACACTTGTATTTGTCATTGTGCACAGGAATTGAATCACTCCACAACAGCGTTACAATGTTGCCAATTGCAGTCTTGGTTGATTATGTTGACCAAAAAATCATAAAGTGCACGAAATGCATTTCTGGTGGAACATCCATTTTCATAATAGGCTTTGATAACTTTAACACGTTATTTGATTGTTAATCTTTCAATGGTTGAAATTGCCAAAGACTTAATTTGTTAAATCTGAAAGAAAAAGAAAAAAAATCATTAGAAGCTTAAACTTCATTCACATTTAAAATCGGTCCAAGTTATTGGAACACCCTTTACATCCATCTGCATTTGTATTGCTCTTTCTGATATCATTCTGAACATAAATATTGCATTCTTTATTCTTATGGCTTTAATGAAACTATTCTGTTCTTGTCCTATTTCTGATGTAATTCTGCTATGTGCTCTCTTGATTAGATAAATGAATTTTTAATAAATATATTCACTATTCGTAGGCTTCCACCAGTCAGGGTTGATCATGAGTAGCATCCTAATTGTCTGCTTAGCTGGAGAATTGACATCTGCGACTGTAGAGGTTGATGCAGGAGTGACTATCTCTGTTGTAGAGGTTGCATGTGTGTTCTGATAAAAATTTCTCTGGTCTGTTGGAGCTGTCATTTTGCTTTTTGTGGGCCCGCCTTTCTGTATTTCACTATTAGTTTGGAAAACTTATGAATCTTTACCTCCAGTTATGGATTAAATTGTACGGCTGATTGTAGTATATTGTCAAGAAGAATAAGTATGAATTCAAACACTCACAGCCTTGTGGCTATCTTCAGAAAAAAAAAAGCTTAGGATAAACCCTACACGAATCTGGATTGGAGCCCAGAAGTGGAGTGGATGGTGTATTGCATCACCATCATGGCAACTGCTGTAGTTGCACCATTACCAAACTGTAATGGTTTATCTATATTTTTTATTTTTATTTTTATTTTTTATTAGCAATGTCGAAAGGAAGGTCTTGGCATATGAGCAGCCCAAAATCTCCATTGCTCCTGCCCACACCTGTAGCTCTCTGCGCTACACCATTGTCTTCCAAGTTGGATGGATGCCAATGAGAACAATAATTGTTCAGTAAACTTTGTGTTGATAATGTTTTACATTTTTATTTACTTTTTTAGTCATTTAATGTGTTTCTGAAAAGTTTTACATTTTTAGATGCCATGTCCCTTGATGATAGAGGTGATTGTGAGTCTCTGCATAGCATCTCATTCTCTGCGAATTGTGATGCTTTATTGGGAAAGATAGAGATATCCTGTTGACTTCTCCATGAGTAGTCCTTCTTCTAGACAGATGACCACTCAAAGTTAGAGAGGCCAGTCTACCCTGCTATTTAACCTAATGCTGGAAGGATTTCTACCTTTTTTCAAGGACATTAGCATAGAAGTGAATGCAACAGACTAAGCTAAAATTTGAACTGGGTTCACTTATTTAATTTTCCATGCCAACAGCCATTACACTATATCTTCTTATATCCCAGTAGGATGTGAGCAGTCATGGTTCTCTACAGTGTCCTGTTACTTGTAACGCTAAGCAACACTTGTCCTTCTACCATTTCCCAATCCCTGCTTTGCAATCTATTTGCATAAACTCATCAGGCAAGCAACTGGCTGTTTCACTCTGCCCATTTAGCCTTCACTATATCCTGTGAGTGTCAGATTCTCTAAGCCTTCCTTTGTCATTATGTGTCCAAGGAATTTTAATTTTCTTTTTTATTGTAAATACAGCTGTTCACTTTTTGTTTCTGTTTTCCTTAAAACTTCCTAATTATTCACATGTCCTCTCCATATTATTCTCAGCATTCTTCTGTATAGCTTCATCTCTCTCTCTCTCTCATCTATTGCCCTAAATCTCATCTTCATCTGTGAGGAAATTATCCAGCATTCACTGCCATATAGGAGGACTATTTGCAAATTTATTTAGCTTATTTAATCATATACAATGTCATGTTGACCTAGTTTGTAGTATATTTTGAATATTCCTTGCACTATTATTTCTCTTGGTGAATCTAAAATGACTTTTCTTTTTTTTTTCTATATTATAGTGGAGCGATTTCACCCCACGTATTTGCAACTAGAACACCAGCACCAGGTCTGTATTAGGGCTGATTTTTTTTTTTCATTTTTTATTTATTTTTTTGCTTCACAGATAAAAAAAATATAGTTAAAATTTTAATTTAAATCCCCAAATGGAACAACAAATTTGCATTACAATTTACATGTTCAAAGTATAATGTTTAGGTTTTTGTTTGATTTTTGGAGAAATTTAAATTAACATCCTAATTATTGAAGTTTTGCATTAAAGAAACATTAATTAAGCTTTGAAATTTTTTTTTTCCAAACTATGATCTTTCGTATATGCACTGATAATCACCCAGAATGAAGATTATCCAGCATTGCCTGGATAGAAATGGATTTTGTGGGAATCAATAACACTTTAATGTTTAATATTCAAGGTATTTATTGTATTCTGTTAGTATGAAAGCAAGTTCATTGACTATATTGTAAGGAAGGAGGAAGGAACTGTGAAGCAATTAGAAAATCAGCTAATTAATCACAAATGACTAATGATTAGGCTGCTGTTATTATACCAGGTGCCAATTTAATGTTATAGATAATTATAAATTCAGCAAAAAAACATAGGGTCAGAGTGTAGTATCTGTTTAATACCTGGCCTTTCAAAGTTTACATTAATTATTTTTTCTGGTTGTGAGACCTATTTATAATATAAAGTTGAAAGGAATTGGTGGGGGTGGGTGGGGGTAAGAGTGAGATGAAGGACAAAAGAATATGTGAAAGATTTATATATAAATATGTAAAGATGTGTTTGGTAATCTGTATAGATAAATCCAAGGAGGATATAATAAAGAGAACTTGATGTAAAAATGGAGAAAATATTAATTATATTAAGAAACAGACAACTTTAAGGGTTCATGGTGATTATAATTTATTTCCTTAGAATCTAAATTTGATTCTAATTCCTCAGATCAACATTTTCATACAATATGAAAATGTTGATCTGAGGAATTAGAATTGAATTCATTTTAAGGAAATAAATTATATTCACCATAAAACCCTTAAAGTTGTCTGTTTCTAATATAATTTAAATTATTTATATAGCATATTATATATATATATATATATATATATATATATATATATATATATATATATATAATCTGCTATATAATTTCTGCAGGTGCATTGCCGTTCAGCCTAATGTTGAAGTGATGGCCTTTTGTAAATAAGTGACATTTTATATATATATATATATATATATACACACACACACACACACACGAGTCTGCCCCCATACACACTTTAGGAAAGGAAAGACTTGTATAGATATAGTATTACTAAATTTATTCAGACGTCAGAAGTAATACAAATTACCTTTGGACAATGGCAAGAGATGCTCAAAATGGTGGCCTTTTTAGCTTCCAAACAGACATTGTTACACATGCATTTTCAGTTTCTTGTCTAAGTGCTACCAACATAGTCTGTTTTCTGTGACACAACATCTTTTATTGATGCTACAGCCATGAGAGTAATGCCATCTGTTGAGAAAATACTACAGTAAAGAGTGTTATTGCAATTTTATAAAACAATGAAAGACACGTTTTTCCTTTCTTGAAGTGTCTATACATTTTCTTGGTGGACTCTGCATGCATGCATGTATGTATGTATGTATGTATGTGTATGTAAAATATATATATATATATATATATATGTTCAATGAAAAAGAAATGAGTTGAAACTATCACTAAAAAGATTGGTTTGTTGGCAGAACATTTGTGTGCACATATATATATATATATATATATATATGTGTATGTGTGTATATATATATATATATATATATATATATATATATATATATATATATATATGCTTTTCATATTACTATAAACTTTATTCTTAGTGGGTATACACATTTGAGCTGCTGCCTTTTTTTTTGTATTATTATTATGTCATTATTATTATTATTATTTTTAGAATGCTGAATAAATAATCCCAACAATATAAAATAATGCTACCTCTTGATATATGGAAAATTATCACATTTAACATGTATCATGGTGAACAGAATTTTTGGCAGTAAATTGCTCAATAGCTAACTAGAGCAAAAATTATTAAATCAGAAATAATAAATTACAACACTTATTGTAGGTCAACTTTGAGTTTCGTAATTTCTCATTCATCAGGATTTTCTTATTAGAAGCTGTGGTAAGTGGGGAAATTCCAAAATCATAGTTAACCTCCAATGAACATTGAACTTTATTATTTATGATTCAATATATATATATATATATATATATATATATATATATATATATATATATATATATATATATAAATATATATATGTGTGTGTGTGTGTGTGTGTAACTAATGCATGGTGTGCAATTTTGATGGATTTGGTCCAAAATTTACATGCACATGCTCCAAGTTAGCGGGAAGGCCAAGACTGACTTTTGTATTTCCCAACTCCCATCGATAGTGGAAATAATTGATTTTTTCATGCTTCTACAGCAGTTTTCATGTAGTTTGCGGCCATTTTCTACTGGCCAAAGTGAGAGCCTATAGCTGGCTGCCACAAATAGGCAGGATGATTCTATTGGCCAGTGTTAGAGCCATCAGCTGACTGACATGAATGTTAACTAGCATGCAAAAAAAATTGATAGCTGCATTAGTCACAAGTGGGAAAAATTTAAATCTGCATGGTACTTTACTCCAATTGGCTCATTCGCTCGCTTAAACTCAACGTTGATTCTGATTCCGCAGAACTGGGTTGGGTGTGAAAAAGTATTTGTTGTTAACATTCTTTTTTCATTTGGTTTTTCCAGTTACAAGTCCTTTTTTAATGCTGATCGTTTTGTGTTCATTTTGTTTAGTTCTTTTTTTGTAAGAGATTTAATGCTTAGTATAGAGCTTAGAAAAAATTGGCAGTGTGAGATAGGAAAGAAGTAAGGCATGTAGCAACATCAGCATGGCAAAGGGCACTCCTTTAAGGGCAAGGAAGGGAAAAAATACTTTAAGTCAAGTGATAGCGATTGGTGTATGAGTCTTACAATTTTTGAATCAAGCATGGGCAACGCCGGGCCATATATATATATATATATATATATATATATATATATATATATGAATGAATGAGAGAGTGGAGGATGTAGGTAAAATGATATAGGGAGATAGGCTTGCTGGTTGGATGTCAAGAGCTGAAAATATGAAAGGCATATAGATAGATAAATATTACAATATCTTAAAATTGAATACTCAATAATGCTATTTTGAAAACTGTCTATATGTTTGTGTTTTTTATCATTTACAGCCCCTCCATCCTTGTCCAACTAATAAAGAATCCATGGAAATCTTTTACCAACACACTGAAGTAAGTAAATTTCAGTAGAAATTTTTACCTTTTGCTTCATTATAATTGTAATTTCTTCATCATAATTTTCATAAAAGGAATGTTGGTTATTTGGCCACACTTCCGCTGCATCAGAGAGTGAGTGAAAATTGGAATGGGTGATAGCATAAACAGGAAATGCATCCAGTGGCTAAAATAAACAGGGTCCACAGGTGTCCTGAGCAGAAGGAAATACGTGCTTGCATGGGCACATGCCAAAATAGGCGTGGCCACAAGAAGTTGTGTAGGCAACATACCAAAAGAAGACATGGCCACGTGAAGTTGTGTGAGTATCCAATATCATAAAACTGGTCCAATTCTTGGCCTAGAGATAGGCTGGCTAGAGTTTCACCAAAGATTTGTCACCATCAATTCCTGTGTGTGCAATCCTAACCTCCGTGATTCTTCCTCACTCTACCAAATCACCACAACTTGAACAATAAAGATATTTATATATATTTTTTTATATATAAGTGTTCATTATCTTATATGTGTCTAGCAGCAATATACAACATGAACACTAATCCAAAAATACTTTAAATTATGAAAATTAGTTGCTATTAAGTCTAATGCTCTTGTCATATTAGTGCACATCTGCATAAATACTGTCCTTGAATATTGGATCAAGTAACTGGAACCACCTTTGTACCTCTTCAATTGCAGTGTCATAGAATCAAATGTCATTTGAGAGACTCAGTCCTGACTTGGCCCCTTCAGATGATGGATGCTGTAAAATATCCCAACTGCTGAAGCCATACCTTTCTTAGCTTTTCTGTATGTACAATGTCATTGTTATGCAGAATGGTTGTGCCCTTATGAAAATGTAATAGTCTCTTCTGATCAACAGTGTCCCTATGTCTGTTCACTATGTCACAGTATTTGATTGCATTAATTGTCTGAACATACAATATAAGATACACAAGCAACACAACGTTTGCATCCTAGAATACAGATACTATCAACTTCTTTGCTGACTACTGACCACTTAATTTTTCTTTTGGTGGAGGTCAATGATGTTGGATGTTTCCACATCATGGAATCAACTTTTGTCTCCAGAATCATATTATGCACCCAGGTTTGATCACCTATAACCATGTTCTCCCATAAGTTCCACATCAGTTTCTCAATATCCTATTCAAAACCTGAAAATGAGAAATGCCCACCTGCTAAAACTTGTGTTCTTCAGTAAATTGTTTTAAGACTTAAATTTGAATTTGGCATGCAAAAATCATATTTTACAGCTCATGCCTTATCCTCCATTTTATGATGGCAATCATTTTTCTTGTGATGTCACTTATGGTTAGATTAGAAGGAAACTGGCAGTCATTGATGAAACAGTATGTGCTGATAATTGTGATTAGCCATTTCCATGCAAGGAAACATTCAGCATTCATTGACCTAACAGGGATACATTTGGTTGAAATTTTTAAAATCTTTCTCTTAAATAATTTTTTCAAGGAAGTAGGTTTTTCAACTTCACTAATTCTGTCTAGTATTGATGAGGATTTTCTTTTCTAATCCTTTATTTGAAGAAGTGTGTAAATGCATCATCTTGATTATGTCACTATTTTCTCTTCAAGTACTATTAAAGCTGTTCTGTCTATTACAAGAAGTATTGCATAACTTATCTCTTAGTTTGTGCTTACAGCTTTCATAATCTTTTGATTCCTGACAGTTGATGCCTATGCATACCTTACATTTTGAACGTCTTTCCTATATGCAGCCTTCTGTTTGTGAAGAAATTCCGTGTTGTTGAAAAAAAAAATGCAATTTCTAGACAGCTAGGCATATCTTTGTATTTTTTTTAATCAATTTTCTTTTTTGTTTATAAATTTTTCATTTCCTACAGAAATGTTTGACCTTTATAAGCAGACTGATCTGACTTTTTACAAGTTTTGAATTCCTCACCTTTCGAAATATTGATACAGTTTATCAGTTTGCAAAAAAAAAGAATAGTCATGATTCTGGCATTTATTTAGTATTTTAAAAGAATACCTTGACAATTTAAATAAAAAGATATTCCATTCCTTTTACTAATTCCATCACAGAATTGATTTTAAATATTGAGGAAAATTCTGAAGTTTTTTTCATGTTTGATTTTACATTGCTTCTTTATTTTAGCAAAAAAAGTAATGTAAATATATTTTAATAAGCACAGTTTCTTTATTAATTAGAATCATAACCATTCTGGCTGATGCAATTATTGATGCATGGACTGACACTTTGGTGTAGTATCTGTGCAATTTATCAAAGGTCAAAATGTTGGTCCATATTCCTCTGCTTAGTATTAGAATATAGTATCTATTATCTACATGAGAAAGATGTCACTTCCTGGTATTTCTGCTTAGAATCAGAGTGTAGTATCTGCAGTATATGAAAAATATAACACAAACATATATATATGTGCATGTGTGTATTTAGGCAGCAAATTCTCTTTTAGATATGTCTGAGTGAATAAATTACAGACATTATGTCTGCTAATTTTTAACAAAATCCATTCATATTCATGAATATCCTTTAACATCAATACACAAAAGGTTATTCATGAGTATGAACTGATTTTGAAAAATTAGCAGACATAATGTCTGTAATTTATTCAATCACACACACACACGCACGCATATCTATCTATCTATCTATGTATATATATATATATCTATATATATATATAGATAGATAGATGAGAGAGAGAGCAGTGGTTAAACAATTGTTGGTCAGAGTTAAATTAGACCAGTAAACAGTTGCATTAAAAAGAGCTTGATACAAAGTAAAAAGAAAAATTGACCATGCAGAACTTTGAAATGTTAAAAAAATAGGAAGATCAACCACCAGGTTTCTTCAGGTGGTAGAGTCCATTTGACTTCCTAACACTTTATTTGTTTATGTATGCACAACAGAAAGATTAATATAAATATAAAATTTGTCACTTAGCTGATTGATGTTACCTTTAGTACTTCAACTCTGAAGTAGACAAACCCTTTTTGCAATTGTTCAGTCCACTTGTATGGAGGTTTCACCAATTATCATATATATATATATATATATATATATATATATATACACACTACTACTAGTAATAATTAGTTGGAAAAATCTTCGGTAGCACAACTTGTAAGTCTATCAAATCAAATTGGTACCCGAGGAAAAAAAATTGGAAAGAAAAAAAAAGAAAGAACTAGAAACATCTGAACAGGGAGAAATAAATCGTCCAGTGCCTTAATTTTTTAGTCGAAAGAAAAAACACCAAGCTGGGAGATATATATATATATATATATATATATATATATATATAGGTAAAAGTGCTCAATGTCAGTGATAGAGCATATATAAATATAAAGGTGAACAGTGAGATCAACACTGAGTGGCAACAGTCTGGTTTATGCTTGAATACAATCTTCTCTCTTGGAACAGACTTACTGCTTGGTGCCCACTTTTATACTTAGAAATGCATATATATATATATATATATATATATATATATATATATACTTACACACAAATAGTAAAATATGAGCTTAAAATATACTGAGGGCTCATTACCAAAGTCAGCAGAGCTTAAATTAAATATAATATCAAATTCCAGTACTCTTGGAATATCATATTAATTATTATGTAAGTTTTAAAAATTATACGAAGTTTAGAATGTATTTTAAAAATGAAAAATCTTTCTTAAAGCTTTTATTTTAGTTTTAATTCCAAGCTAAACTTTTTTCACAGTAAAAAGATGCTCAAGTTTCCCATGCTAATTTATGATCCATTGTCGACACCAGAGAAACAAACATTTTTAACTAAAATGATGAATATTCTAAAATGATTAAAAAAATATAATTCTTACATCAAAAAATCCTTTGGTCTTTCATCTTAATAACAAAGACTTTTATGATAAAACATTGTTTTTCTTAAATTTGGCACATTATTTCATCATGTGTGCTCATTTTTACTGAAGATAAAATATTCAAAAAAATCTTTAGCATTAGAACATATATTTTTAATACATACACACAAAAGTATATATATATATATATATATATATATATATATATTATATTCATTGATGTCATGTGACCCTGGGTTTCAACCAATGTGATCAGTCAGACAAACTGATTAATTTTTTAAATTTTTTGATTTATGTAGATTGAGTGTATTGGTGTTATTATGGAAGTTTTCGTTGTCATGATGTCAGACATGCTAACGCAAAACATAGATGCATGTCCGTACAATATGATAAGGAACAATACCACCCAATCTATAAATGCAAAATTTTTTAAAATTAATCAGTTTGTCTGACAAGCTGTATATATATAGAGAGAAACCCAGGGTCAAAACCATGACATCAATCCAACCAAATATGTTAGCTCTATCTCTGATATTGAGATTTTCTAATAGGTATATGATATAATATATAAATAATAATAATATATATATATATATATATATATATACACGCACTTTTCACACACACATATATATATTTATATACACGCACTTTACACACACACATATATATATATACACACACTTCACACACACACACACATATATATATATATATATATATATATATATATATATATATATACACACACACACACTTTTCACACACACATATATATAATGACATTTTATATATATAGATAATGTACAGATATTTTACTTTATTGATCAATTTACTCCTTGTCCAGATGATTCTTTTTCTTTTACTAATTTATACAATAATTCTTCATTCCTAACTTTTATATACTTAGAATCATGTTTATAAGAAAATATTTTAATTCACGCAAACGCATACACAAGTGTATGTAATTTTCATATAATTATATATATATTTCTCATCTTTTTCAGTTGGCTAAGAAGTACCTGGCTGTTAAACGAGAATTGGATTTCCTGACCCATAAGAAGTAAATATCACTTTTTCTTATCCCTATTTATTTTTTACTGTGATGACTACTTGTGATTTTTTTTCCGTCTACTTGTTACTCTTCCATCTTTCTTTGATTTTCCTTTTATATTTTCTATTCATAGTTTCTCTTAAACTTTTAGTCTTGTTCGGCAACACCTGGCTCTCTTAACAAGACCTGTTATGCCTACAATTCTGGCTCCTTTCCAGTTTTCCTTTTCCCTGACAAATTTCTACGAGACAATTTCCTGTGAAATTCTACTAGAAAGAAAATAAAAGGTTGTGTACAAAACATAAACTTTTAGTTTCTCTCTCTCTCTGATAAATATATATATATATATATATATATATATATATATATATATATATAACTTGCTAAAAGAAAGTCATTTGATGTTTTTGACAAACATGTACTGTAAAAAAAAAATTGTTCTTGACAAATTTATATTACTTTTAGTCTGAATATTGTTAGGGTATTTTAATCACTGTTTGCTGCTTTTCTTTAGTTAACAAACAGGAAAAATTTGTTTAAAACAAAGAAGAGTTCTGAAATGCAATGTAATATTGCTCTTCCTACATGCCAATGAATGCTGGACAATTTCTCCACAGATGAAAAAGAATGTGAGAGAACAGATATGGTGATACAGAAGGATGCTGAGAATACTGTGGATAGAGCATGTGAGCAATAAGGAAGTTTTAAGAAAACTGGAAACAAAAGAAAACTCATATTTATTATCAGAAAAAAACAATTGAAATTTCTAGGACATATAATGAGGAAAGATGGCTTGGAGAATTTGGCACTCTCAAAACATATTGAAGACAACTGGATGCAGAGAGAAATGTTGTGTAGCCTACCTAATGAGCTTGTGTAATTGGATGACTCAACATCAGTAAGGATACTAAGGTGGGCAAACATTGCTTAGATGTACAAAGGAAATTGTGGAGAACCATGACCGCCTAGACCCTGAAGCAACACATTCTATAAAAGAACCACCACCTTGTCTTTGTTCTTTAGCACAATGTTTTGCTTATGTATCTTCTGTTGTAGTTCAGATATTTTCAAATTTTCTTTTTAGGGTACATGCATATCTTGCTGACTCTACATGTTATATCCAGTTTTTTTTTTTTTTGCATCTTTGTGTTTTGATGCTGTCTACCTTTGACCTCCTGGAGATTTGTATGCTTTGCCAGGTTCATTGGTTTCTGGTTTATGATACCCATGTGCTGCAAATGTTGGCATGCAGTTGGTTTGAGTCATGTAGAAGTCAATTGAAAATAACTTGTAAAGGTCAAGTTGAGATGAAAATATAGTGATCAACCCTACATAAGCTATAGGGTTCAATTGAAGATAACAATGATCAACCCTGCATAAACTGTAAGGCTCAAGTTTAGATTAAGAAAAATATAGTGGTCAACCCTACATAAGCTATAGGGTTCAATTGAAGATAACAATGATCAACCCTGCATAAACTGTAAGGCTTAAGTTTAGATTAAGAAAAATATAGTGGTCAACCCTACATAAGCTGCAAGGATCAATTAAAGATACAAATTGTTAGTCCTACATAAACTGTAATGGTCAAGCTGAATTGAAAATATAATGGTCAATATATTCTTGTAACTAACTGTTGTGGAGTATTTTCACAGTGGAGGCTTGTATTTCTAATAAGTCGTCTTAAATTAGGTCCGACGTACAAAACGTTAGGAACTTAGAAAATAAGAGTCAATGGCGCAGCAATCTAGTTGTGATGGTTGGTACTTCAAATGTCTGAATCTCGACTGATGCGCTCAACACCATTCTGCCAGACCTGCCACTGCTACTCCTACTTATTATCTATGGGAGAGTCCATTACAATAGAATAGGTACCTAACACTAACCTAATACAATACGTTTTTTTTCACACTTCCAATTATTGTAGAAGACTCTTTTCATCTACAAAAAACATTTTTGCCAAACATGATAAAATGTTAAACCATTAAATGCAGGTGGTGAAATGCTTACAACTTGTGAGTAATCAACACCAGGTTTTTGAGCTAATTTCAATATTGATTGAGTAGGGGTCATCATCTAAATGAGGTTGCAAGATATTATTTATAGATTCTTGTGCCCTATTGCTGCATGCTGTTTGTCCCTCAAGTCAAGATCAACTTTCTTGAACTTTGAAAAACCATTAATGACACATACTGCTTCCAACCAAACAGTCTTTGTAGGATTCATCAATCATCATCATGGCTTCTGCTGCTGTCTTTCTCAACTTGAAGAGGAACAAACATCTAGTTTTATATGTATATGTTGTCTATTGATATTTTTATCTCAATACAAGATAAATGAACACTGATTGTCATACATTTTACATTGGTTTTCAACTTTGGATTTAATCTCTCTTTTCTTTTTTTTTTTTTTTTTAAAAAAAAAGAGTTCTGGAAAATTTTTCACAAAGCTAATATTAACCAGAAATCAAGGACTTATAAAGATCTTTTTGGCTTAGAATTCAAAATATTTTATTATTGCAGATAACAAGGCAATGCTAAGAAAAATGGTTAACGAGCAGATTCTTTCATAGTGAAATCATTAAATATGATAATTTGTATTATGATAAATATACAAAATTCAGTAGTCACTATTGCCTACTAGAAAGTAAATCTGGGATTTGTAAAGCTCTAGGGTGTGGTAAGAGGACAAGGAAATATTAGAATTAAGTAATATTTTTTTTTCTACAAAATCTTTATGATAAAATTTAAATGACTTAACCCTAGAACACTAACCATCAATTAAAGTTACACAACTACTAACCATGAGTATATTATACCCGATTTTGAAAATATCAAAAAAAATATTAAATATAAATCTTTATTTGAAATATTTTACATGCAGGAACTTCAAATTTTGTACTTTGAGTTAACATTAATAGGAACTGAAAAACCTATTATTTAGGTAAGAAAATCAGGTACTGAAAATTGTAATTAAAAATAGGAAAATTTGCACTGGGTACTATATACCCATGGTTAGTGTTCTAGGGTTAAGAAACATGTTCTGATATTTCATGCTTTGCAAATGTCTTACAAATGTTTAGTGAGAAGCACCAAGTTTTTGAATCAATTCTAATATTGGCTGAGTAGAGTCGTCATCTGAATGCAGTTGCAAGTCATCACTTCTAAATTCTGGTGTTCTATTTTTTTTTGTCCCTCAAAGTCTTGTGTGTTCATGCTGTCCACTGCCATTTTTTTCATTGCAAGATAAGTGAACATTGAATGGCACACTTTGACACTAGTTTTCAACTTTGAATTTAAACTTGTTTCTTTTTAAAATAAAGAATTCTGGAAATCAATGCCTTATTGAGATCTTTTTGACTCAAAATTCAAAATATTTTACTATTTCAGATAACAGTAATGCTAAGAAAAATGCTTAAGTAACAGATTGTTCAATAGTGGAATTATTAAATATGATGTACGATATCAAGATAAATATAAGTCATAACAAAATTCAGTAGTCACTATTGCCTACTAGAAAATAAATCTGGGATTTGTAAAACTTCAGGGTGTGGTAAGAGGACAAGTCAATATTAGGATTAAGTAATACGTTTTTTCTACAAAATCTTACAAAGAATAAAATTAACAAAAGAGTTATATATAAACACAGTTTATTTTAATTTGTTATCCAAAGTTAAAATCTGAATGTTTGCTTCATTATTTACATATGTACTATTGTCCCCATCTTTGTTGTTGTTATCACAATGTTTCAATCATTGTGCCCTCTGGCCTTCCTCAGGTGTATTCCAATCTGAGTAACCTACATTGAATTCTGAACTGGACACTTTATTTAATCTACAAAGTAGACTGTTCTCATTCCACTGCCTTTGTGTAGAGATATCTCATCTAATTCTTATTTTAGTATTGCTTAGTTATTGCTCACCCTTTTATCTGCTTACATGCACATACATTGATTCTTTTATCTCAACATGGACTGGTGTCTTTTTTCAAGATATCTGGCAGTTGGAATTAGTGCAGAGGAAAGTGGATGCATGCCTTTATCAATAGCATTAATACAGTGTCACTTAGTTCTGTTGTCCGTGTTATTATAGAATTAGTAGTTATGTTTTTTTTACGTTTCATTTTCCTTCAGGATGCAACCGATCATGGTTTTTCACAATTTCCTGTCTTTAGTTGCTCCAAGTAACTCTTAGCTCTTTATCCTAGTTTGCAAACAATAAAATTAACAAAAGTATTATTTTAAAAGAATGTTTTATACATGAGTACATAGTTTTATGCTTTCTAATAGCCACCATTGTCTATTAGAAAGCTTGGAATTACAAAATATGTTGTATCCACTCACTGAGGGCAGTGTAGAACTCCAGATGGAGAAGAAAAGGAACCAATAGGAAAGTAAAAAAGCATTAGAATTAAGTAATTTAAAAAAAAAATTTTTTTACTATATTTTTCTGATAAAATTTAAGGAACATATATACTTTACAAAGAATAAAATTAACATGAGATATATACATGAGCACATGATTTTATTTTAACTAGTTATCGGAAGTTAAAAAACTGAATGTTTGTATTTTGTTGACCTTATCTTGACAGGATGTACTACATGTTAACCAGATGAAGCTGCAGACGTTTACACTCTAGATTTCTAGGTGTAGCAATATAGCCAAAGATGTTCATCTCATGACATTTTATCTAATGATATATAAGAAAAGCTGAAATGCATATACAGTACAGTTTAAAAGTTACCCCCAAAATTAGCATGAGATGAACTTGACAAAAGAGTGAAAAAAAATGAAAAAGAGCTCTTAGAGTAATTGAAAATAGAATGGGACCAATTATCAAACTTATACTTTTAGAAATCTTTGCAACAAATGCCCAAAAAATTGTGCTGCAGTAATTAAGGCTAAAGGAGTATATTTTGACGAGAGCAAAATTTAATCATAAAATGCTTTTTTTTTTATTTGTCATAATAAAATTTTTAATCATGTACAATAATTTTCTCTTATTTAAAGTACAAAAC